CACCACAAATCAGAGTCAATGTGCCAGTTCTTCGATAAACGTGGTTACCCTGTTTCCGTCGTTCAAGCGGGTTACCACCGCGCTCAACTTATTGATCGACATTCAGCACTACAAACGTCGCATAAGGAAGATTCCGACCGCATTCCATTCACTCTCACGTTTCACCCTCACAACCACTCAGTTAAATCCATCATTCTTAAAAACTTTAAATTACTTCAAAACGATCCAGAGACAAGCACTATCTTTTCGCAGCCTCCGCTCATTTCATTCAAACGCGACAAAAACATAGGCAATTTTTTGGTCAGAAGTTCTTTTCAGACTAATGACCAACCAGGCACTTTTAAATGCGCTCGTGCACGATGCAAAACGTGTCCTTTCATTCACAACACTGATAAAATATCGGGACCTAAACGATCCATTAAGATCACCGATCACTTCACGTGCACCTCCGCCAATGTAATCTATTGCATAACTTGCACTTATTGCAAAAAGATATACATCGGCGAAACAGGCAGAAGACTAGGTGACCGATTCCGAGAACACCTTCGAGACGTGGAAAGGAATGACAAGGACACATCGAAACCAGTCGCTAGACATTTTAATTTACCTAATCATTCTAAGCAACATATGGCAATCTGCGGTCTTTCCTTACACTTAGGTAGCACGGAAAGCCGTAAAAATCTTGAACAAAAGCTCATCTTTCAAACCGGCAGTCTAAATCCCACAGGGATCAACGAACGCTTTTCATTCCACTAATTTATTCTTGTTTTTCTCGTTGCCATGTTCCCACCAATAACGTAGCTCCATTTTCTGCCTTTAAAAGCACACACAACCCACAATTCCTCTATTCGCTCCGACGAAGGGCTAACGCTCGAAACGTCAGCTTTTGTAATCGTTACGGTGGCCAATTTACCATTTCAACTTTGTTGATATATCCAAACTATTTCGTTACCCCCACCGACGCAGCCCCAAACAGTTTCAATAGAAACTATCAGCCTTTATTCATTAATTGATATATTCATTAATTGATATAAGCAAATTATCCAGTAACTTGTGTTACAAAAAGTAATGTTTCCCTAATTTGGATTAAATATCAGGAAAAGATGGCAATGGAAAACCTAACGGTAGAAGCCATGATAACTTCCGTGAGCATAGCCTTACCAGTTGCCGTGTTTCTGCTTAACTCAGATCGCGTTCAGAAAGCCATAGAGATATGCAGTGAATGCTTGATTTTGTTAAATAACATCAACCAAAATAGTAAAGACCAACTTACTTCACATCGTTACCGCGCCATCTATGGAGTTCTCTTCTACGCTTATCGCCGTATCTCTGACGAGATAAATGCGGAAAGATACGGCAGGAAACTACTTGTACTATGCAACGAGTCTGGTGCCTTAGTAGACGAAGGAGAAATAAGCATGGCTCTAGCAGAGATAGTTAAGAGTCAAAACAGGTTTACAGAAGCCAAACAACTTTATGACAGAACAATCAAAATAAAGAGACAAACTGGTCAAAAAATTGGAGAGGCAGACGCCTGTGCAAGATTGGGAAGTATCTTTTATAAAGCTGGCGAAAATCTAAAAGCGAAAGACTGCATTGAAAGAGCCCTTGCCATAAGAACCAAAATTGGCGACAAAAAAGGAGAGGCATCCTGTTACAGAAACCTAGGAGCGGTGTTTAGGTCACTCGGGGAATACGACAAGGCAAAATAATATCTCGAAAAAGCGTTTGTCGTCGGAACTGAAATTGGCGACAGAGAAGGAGAAGTAGACTGTTATGAAAACCTAGGTGCAGTGTTTGAGTCTCTCGGGAAACACGACAAGGCTGAAGAGTACTTCGAAAAAGCGCTTGTCATCGGAACTGAAATTGGCGACAGACAAGGAGAAGCATCTTGCTATGGAAACCTAGGTGCTATGTTTCAGTCGCTCAAGCAATATGAGAAGGCTAAAGAGTATCTCAAAAAGGCGCTCGTCATCACAACGGAAATTAGCGACCAAAGTGGAGAAGCATTGTGCTATAAGAGGCTAGGTACAGTGTTTGAGTCTCTCGGGCGATACGAAAAGGCTAAGGAGTATCTCGAAAAAGCGCTTGTCATCAGAACTGAAATTGGCGACAGACAAGGAGAAGCGTCTTGCTATGAAAGCCTAGGTGCATTGTTTGAATCTCTGGAGCAATACGACAAGGCTAAAGGGTATTTCGAAAAGGCGCTCGTCATCGCAACTAAAATTGGCGACAGAGAAGGAGAGGCAGCCGGCTACGCAAACCTAGGTTCTATGTTTGAGTCTCTACGGCAATACGACAAGGCTAAAGAGTATCTCGAAAAATCGCTCGTCATCACAACTGAAATTGGTGACTGGGCAGCAGAGGCAGACGCCTACGGAAACCTAGGTTCTGTGTTACTGTCTCTCAGGCAATACGACAAGGCTAAAGAGTATCTCGAAAAAGCACTTGTCATCAGAACCGAAATTGGCGACAGAACAGGAGAGGCAGCCGACTACGGAAAACTAGGTGTTGTGTTTCAGTCGCTCGGGCAATACCACAAGGCTAAAGAGTATCTCGAAAAAGCGCTTGTCATCACAACCGAAATTGGAAACAGAAAAGGAGAGGCAATCGATTACGGAAACCTTGGTCATGTGTTTCATTCGCTCGGGCAATACGACAAGGCTAAAGAGTGTCACAAAAAAGCGCTTGTCATTATAAATGAAATTGGTGATAGAAAAGAAGAGGCAAACTGCTATGGAAGCCTAGGTAAAGTGTTTCAGTCGCTAGATGAATACGGCAAGGCAAAAGAGTATCACCAAAAAGCACTTGTCATCAAATCAGAAATTGGCGACAGAAGAGGAGAAGCATCCTGTTATGGAAACCTAGGTAATGTGTTTCAGTTGCTCGGGCAATACGACAAGGCTAAAGAGTATCACGAAAAAGCTCTTGTTATCGTAACTGAAATTGGCGACAGAAGAGAAGAGGCAGCCGGCTACGGAGCCCTGGGTAATTTGTTTCAGTAGCTCGGGCAATACGACAACGCTAAAAAGTATCTCGAAAAAGCGCTTGTCATAGCAATTGAAATTGGTGACAAACGAATAGAAGCATCGTATTATGGATGCCTTGGTAGTGTGTTTCAGTCGCGCGGGAAATATGACAAAGCTAAAGAGTATCACGAAAAAATGCTTGTCATCACAACTGAAATTGGCGACAGAGATGGAGAAGCGTCCAGTTACAAAAACCTAGGTGATGTGTTTCGGTCGCTCGGGCAGTACAGCAAAGCTCAAGAATACCTCGAAAAAGCACTTCTTATCATGTCAGAGATTGGCCATAGAAGAGGAGAGGCTTACTGTTACGGAGGCCTTGGAGGGTTGTTTCACTATCTAGGGGAAAACGACAAGGCTAAAGAGTATTTCGAAAAAGCGCTTGCCATCACAGCTGAAATTGGCCACAGAGACGGAGAGGCAGTCAACTACGGAGACTTAGGCAATGTGTTTCAATCGCTCGAGAAATACGACAAGGCTGAAGAGTATTTAGAAAAAGCGCTTGCCATCACAACTGAAATTGGCAACAGAAAAGGAGAGGCAGGCTGCTACAGAAACCTAGGTTGTCTGTATGATTCGCTCGGGAAATACGACAAGGCTAAAGAGTATCTCAACAAAGCGCTTGTCATTACTACTGAAATTGGTGATAGGGAGGGAGAAGCAGCAAATCTTGGAAACCTTGGAACAGTGTCTACAATTCTCGGAGAATTTGAAGCTTCGGAAGTATGCTTAAAGAGAGCATTATCCATATCCAGAGATATTGGAGACAGAAGAAAAGAGTTACACATTTTTCAGGCCTACGTTATTTTGTATTTATCTCAAAAGAAAATCAAAGACTCTCTTACGTGTCTTGGTCTATGCATTAAAAAGTATGAGGAGTTGAGATATTTCTTGGGCGTCAATGATGAGTTCAAAACATCAATTCTGGAAAATTCTGGAATATTTCCCTACAAGCTGCTTAGTAGTTTGCTTTGTGTCACCGGAAATGTTCGTGATGCTGTTTATGGTGAGGAGTTCAGTCGGGCTAGAGGCCTATCAGACTTGATGGCAGAGAACTACTCGGTTGAAACGCACTTCTCTGCTAATCCACAATCTTGGTTTGGCATCGACAAAATTTTGAGAAATCARCAAAACTGCACTTGTCTGTATATTTCTTACTTTGAAAATAGGGTGCATTTGTGGATCTTGAAACCAAGTGGAGCCATTTATTTTAAACAAATATTAGTAGAAGACATTCTCATTCAGGCTGGGTTGCCCAAAGATTTGCCTTTGGATAACTTTTTGGCTGATAATTTCCGCAGTCTTGGTATTTTGCCCATTGAAGAGTGTGAAGATCGGTCCTTAAATATGGTTGAATCGCAACCTCTTTCCCCTGTACGAAAGAGCTCAGCAAGGTTCCGACTCGTGGAAGAGGACGAGCAATTCATCTCAAGTCTATCTATGTGTTACAAAACTTTTATTGCTCCAGTTTATGATTTGCTTGAGGAGCCTGAAGTCATTATTGTTCCTGACCGCAGCTTGTACAAAGTTCCCTTTGCTGCCCTAAGTGAGATTGAGGGAGCCGAATATCTCTCGGAGACGCATAGGATCCGGGTCATTCCTTCTTTAACAACACTCAAGATCATTCAAGACAGTCCAGACGACTATCACAGCCACAATGGTGCGTTGATAATAGGTAATCCCAAGGTTGATTGGCTGCCGCCGTTGAAAGGTGCAAGAAAAGAAGCGGAAATGGTCGGACGACTGGTTGGCGTTCCACCTCTGGTAGGAGAGGAAGCTACCAAGGAGGTCGTGCTTGACAAGATAAGTTCAGTGAGCCTGATACATTTTGCTGCTCATGGTAACGCCAAGAGGGGAGAAATTGCCCTCGCCCCCAATCCTACTCCCAACTGTCGAAACGCTATCCCATCACCGGAAGCTTATATGTTGACGATGGCTGATGTCTCACGAGTGAAAGTCAGAGCTAAACTGGTAGTACTTAGCTGTTGTCACAGTGGAAGCGGACAGGTAAGAGCCGAGGGAGTTATAGGAATTGCCCGTGCGTTCCTAGGATCTGGTGCTCGCTCGGTGTTAGTTGCACTTTGGGCCATTCCAGATGCAGCAACAGAGAAGCTGATGAGTCGTTTCTACGAACACCTAGTTGGTGGAAAAAGTGCCAGTGAATCTCTTCATCAGGCCATGAAGTGGATGAGAAATAACGGCTTTACCAAAGTGTCTGAGTGGGCTTCGTTCACGCTGATAGGAGATGACGTGCAGTTTAAGTTTGGAAACTAGAGGTAAGATTCGATAAGACAAGGTATTTCATAAATTGCAGTAGAGGAAAATTACATATGAAAGTGGCTTTGGCTAACTGGTCGCTGACTGTAAGAGAAAGCCCATTGTGACGTTGAATATCAAGGCTACTTTTATATGTATTTCTTTATTTTTTTTGAAGAGTATTAATTGATCTCTGTTAAGTTTAGAGAGAAAGTGCCTCTCTGCCAGTCAGATGCAAACGTTAGCCATACATATTACTACATATTGTGCTTGGTATCACTTTATTTGCCTTATATGAATTTAAAGTAAATGTTGATTAAGTTTTCTATAATTTGTTGTTTTCTACTTTTGTTACAGGTAAAAATACCCCGACAGTTGAGATAATGAGAACGGATCGAAGAAAATAGAGAGCTAAAAGACTTTTAGATGGATAAATTAAATAGAATAATGAGAGAGGAGACTATCCGTTATTTCAGCTTGTAATTAAGAAAGAGCAATCTGAAATTAACGAGATAAATTTCACGTTTTTTTTCCGGAATAGATTTTGGAAATTATTATTGTTTTCAGCACAAAAATTATCTTGTCTGATATAATTAGCAAGGAACGTTGTTGACATATGACTCTTAAGTGAATTAAATTGAAATCCGTAAATTAAAACAGTAGTTAAGGTATCAAAACGAACCACTTGTGTTTTGTAAGGTTTTTTCTCAAAGCGTTTTGTTAGTTTTAGTTAACAGAACCTTAAAAATTTGATGATGATTTTGACAACGCAATTTTTGCCATAGGTGAAACAAATTGCATGGATCCCAAAGTAGGACCGCAGCAAAAGTTTTTAAGGTTTATCAATTATCATCATAACATAGTGAATGTTTGCTTGCTTTTAATAATTATTGCATTTGTAAATGTTTCCACTGTCGTCTCAATTTACTGCTCTACTATTAAGTAACAACATAACAATTAACATATGTTCGTTGGCGTCTTTTACCAGCGCTTAAATAGTGTCATGCTCGAAGGTTTTTAGATTTCCCATGAAAGATTGTAATCACTTTTAATGAGTTGTGGCATATTTAGTTGATTTCGTAGATCAAAGGAAATATTCATTACTGTAATATTCTTAATACGAAAACACGATGGATTTTGATAACAGTTTTTATAATTTAAAAATCCAACCTCTTTACAAAACGATGCTAATGTGTTCTCTACATGTGCATGTCCATAACGTGTAATACCGCTGATCATTACAATTACAGTGTTGCCTTAAAGCCCGCAAGTTGCAGGGTTTGACTCTTGGCTTAGTATTTGTTTTCTTTGGCAAGAAACTTTACTTCACAGTGCGTTTCTCCACCCAGGTGTTTAAATGTGTACCGGCGAATCTAAAGCTGGGGTTAACCCAGCGATGCAACAGCATCTCATCGAGGGGGGTAGAAATACTCCTAGTCGCTTTATGCTACGAAAACTGGAGATAAGCGCAGGCCTGATGGGCTACTTGGCTCGTATACAAACTTTTCCCTCGGTTAACAACTAATTAGGTATAAGTTAACTCATAGTTAGTAGGGGGGACAGGTTAGGAAGGCGGCGAACTTAAAGAAAGTAACTCTTTGTTCAAGTTTATCGCTCGTGACGTCACACGACCGTGCCCACAAGAAATCAAGATGGCGTCTTTCCATGGTGGTCGGTAGTCATGTTGGTCGTGTAAAACTGTCTTTTATGTAGCCAATAGCGCTAAATTCAGATCGAATTATCGAAAATCCTAAGAAGTGAAATGCCAGGAGACAACTGCTCTGTTGTAGGATGTGGTTCATGACGCCGATCCAAAGGAATTGGCATCTGGAAGCTGCCTACAGCTAAAAGCGAAGGCTACCGAAAATGGGGGGAAGCTTTGCTTAACGAGCTAAAGAAATACCGAGTTGTCGACAAGAACTTTCAAAACCAAATCAGTAATGATAAGGTATACACTTTTAAAAAGCATTTCAAGACTAAGGACATAGAAATATGTAAGTATTTAGCTCCTTTTTACCTTCTAACTGCAATGTCATAACAAATATGACGATCAATAAAAGCATATGATCATGCGTCTTTAATCGATAAAAATACCAATTTGTTCCCATCCTATTCACTTTGAAGTTGAATCTACCAAGTTAACATAGAAGAAAACCAACGTTTGGTGCTATGCCATGTCTAAATATGCCGAAGAAAAGTCACCCAACAACCCAAGCACAACCAAGAACTTCGCGTGTTGTAAGAGAAACTCAACCAAATGAAAGCGCGAGAAAATCATATTTCCACAATAACTTTCAAGATTTTGCTAAGACAATTAAAACGCTTAAATGCCTACGAGAGTGGACAAGTGAAGACATGTCTGACAGGATTATTTTTAAGAAGAGGAAGGAGACATTCTGCTTTCCAGAATATGAACTGAGTATAGACGATAGTCTGGGGTTCACAGTCATCACAGGGGGCCCATACAATCTGTTTGTGTAGCCGACTGTTGTTTTATAGTGAATGTACCAGATTTACCGTTTGCCTCACCTATAGTGATATATTGCTTACTTTGTACATAAGTCATTGATCAATAAACGTTGAATTACTTTACCTGTGGTGTATAGTCGTCCTTTTGCCTCAAAAATGTTTTTTTTTAGCGATTTTGAATAAGTCTGAGTTCGTCGCAAATGAAAGAAATGGGTGAAAGCTGATTGACCAATTCAAAATAACGTCGTCCAGAAAAGGGCAATCAGCGTGACGGTTTCTGGCTGGCACATGAGAATCTTGCTACACATCCCAGGCGCTCATTGAATTTCTTCGAGGGCTAGCTCTGGTCCGTTTGGATGGATTTTCCTTTGGAAGGTACGAGGAGAATCGTGCATCTTTTGACCTTAATGCTGCGAAGTTTTAAAGCGGAGCAATGCGATTTTCGGGGAGAAAATCGCTCGGGCGCTTGAACCCTTTCAAAACAGGGCTTCCACACTTGTCTTTCTTTTATGCATTACATTAACGAAGAAATCAGACTTATTCAAAATCGCTCAAAAAAACAATTTTGAGGCAAAAGGACGACTATGCACCACAGGTAAAGTAATTCAACGTTTATTCATTAATGATTTATGTACATAGTTAGCAATATATCACTACAAGTGTATGGCGTCCCATCGGAGCCAAAATTTAACATTGCGATTTGACATTGTACTTTTAGTATTCTTCCTTATTTCGCGATTGGACATCCAATTATTTATACCTTATGAAACTTTTTCCGATTCAGCATTGTCCCTTTTACAATTAAACTTCCAAGTTTCAAGTATTAAACGTTGTACTTTTCGTATTTCCACCTTGTAGTTGTGGATATTCAACATGCAGTACTTCGCGCTATTCAACATTCAACTTTCCATCATCCAACCGCAACCCAGCTTTTAACGAAGGAGCGGAGGCTCACTAAGGTCAAGTACCTCATGTAGACAGAGCTGAATAACGTATACGCATGCGCCAGGTTTTGCCGCGGAAACACGGATTTTGAGTCGTTCGCATGGTTGAATTCCATTCTGTTTCTTCGAGGCGTCGTTTTCCTTGCCGCTTTTCTTTTACAGAACAACCTCCAAAAATTTGGTACACCCCCTAAGAATTTTCTAAAAAATTAATTTCACCTTCAAACCTTTGGAAATAGGAAAGTGCCTTCGACGAAAACAGAGCTCCTCGGTTTTAAAGGTCAGCCCTTATTATTCTCCGCGATTTTCGCTAAATTCGCTAAATTTTAGACCTAGGACACTTGAGCCCGCGTTGTTGACCGCATACCCGCTGACGTAGCATTTCATTATTCAGCTCTGTCGCTCTGTCCCTCATGTAAGCCTCATAACTTCGTACGAGGTTAACTTGTGAGATGAAAAATGGACGATATCTCATATTTGTTGGACTGTGTTCATAATATCCTAGACATTTTAAATAATGTTCAAGGCGTACATAACAGTCATGGAAATGTTCAGCTTCTTGTTGGTAAAGTAGATTTTTTGCAAAAGATGTTGGTAAATCTAGACATCGATGATTTCATAACAGAAACCATGGGAAGAGCTCATAGTTTGCTGGTAGAAATCGAAAGAACTGAGAAATCTTATCCACGTTATAGCCCTAGCGACCAACAAGATGGTAGATGTCGACGACCCTCGTACGTAATAAGCAAAGAACAGCTCTCATATTTAATTGAACAAGGTTTTAAATTGCAAGAGATTGCTACTATGCTTGGAGTAAGTTGCAGAATAGTTTAGAGAAGAATGATGTCATATTGACTATATGTGTCAGGTACATACTACTGTTTAAGCTAGGATATTATGAGCACAGTCCAGCAAATACGAGATATCGTCCATTTTTCATTTCACAAAATAACCTCGTACGAAGTTATGAGGCTTACATGAGGAACTTGACCTTAGTGAGCCTGCGCTCCTTCGTTAAAAGCTGGGTTGCGGTTGGATGATGGAAAGTTGAATGTTGAATAGCGCGAAGTACTGCATGTTGAATATCCACAACTACACTGAAAGTGGAATTACGAGAAGTACAATGTTTAATACTTGAAACTTGGAAGTTTAATTGTAAAAAAGACAATGTTGAATCGGAAAAAGTTTCATGAGAGATAAAGACTTGCATGTCCAATCCCGAAATAAGGAAGAATACTAAAAGTACAATGTCAAATCGCAATGTTGAATTTTGGCCCCGTTGGGACGCCATATAAGTGAGGCAAACGGTAAATCTGGTACATTCTCTATAAAACAACAGTCGGCTACACAAAACATATTGTATGGGCTCCCTGTGCAGTCATAAGCTATGACTGGCTATTGCCTGAAGATCACCAATTATACACAAGTCATTAAAGATCAATGAGGAATTTAACTTTGAGTTGTCCGATCAGAGGTCGAAGGACTAGTTCTTTGCCCAGGAATGTAATAAAATCAACTCTAGCATAGTTCATCATGTTATTCCAATATCAGCTGATCGATTCAAATGTGAAAATGGCAGTGATATGTTCACAAGTAAAGAATACTGGCGCTCAAAGAACTGTGATCTTTTAGTTGAGTCAAGTGATATTTGCCATACCTTTCAGTGCTAAATACTTGAGTTCTGTCGATCGAAAAGTACAAGTCAAGCAAAGATTACTAGAACAAGCTAAGCTAAATGCGCAATTATCAAAAACAGCACCTGAAAGTGTTAGATTAGCCTTAAAAGAACAGAGGTTGAAGTGTGCTGAGTTGGAGCAGGAGTTATGGGAAATGAGAGCTGCCCTAGAGAATTCAAGTGTTGAAGTTGACCATGATCTAAGCAACGATTTCACTAACATCGTTAGTGAGGTTGATGAATCTAAGGTGACACCCTTCATGAGTCTGTTCTGGCAGTAGCAGAAGAAAATGTTTAGCAGCAGTGCCTGTGGTGTTCGATACCACCCGATGATTATTCGCTTTTGTCTTTCTCTTGCCGCTGAATCACCATCTTGCTATGAAGAGCTGAGACAAAGCAACATCCTTGTTCTTCCAAGTCAGAGAACATTGCGTGACAACCGCAATTACATAAGACCATCAACTGGCTTCCAAGAGAAAGTTGTCAATGAACTTAAATCTGAAACTCACCGTTAGCTACTTTGATACCCAGCGATACTGTGTTCTGCTGTTCGATGAAATGAAGATTCTGGCAAACCTTGTCTTTGACAAGACCACGAATGACGTAATTGGCTATGTTGATCTGGGTGACCCAGATGTGAACTTTGCAACACTAGACAAGCATGATGATGTTGCAACTCATGCATTTGTGTTCCTAGTGCGCGGTGTCTGCACAGAGCTCAAGTTCAGTTTGACATATTTTGCTACCACTGGAGTAACTTCTATGCGAACGATGCCACTTTTCTGGGAGGCTGTTTGTAATATTAGAGTGCATGTGTAACGTATGGGTAATCGCTTCAACCTCAGATGGTGCCTCACCCAATCACCATTTCTATAGACTGCATAAAAATCTTGATGGTGGAGCTGGTAAAGATGTTTGCTACAAAACCGTTAATCTGTATGCCTCAAATCGTTACATCTATTTCATTGCAGATGCTCCACACCTGACAAAGGCAACTAGAAACTGCCTTCTTCATTCACGACATGGTAGATGCACCATGTATGCAAATTCCAATGCAGTATTTGCACCCTTATGCCCCTATCATTTTGTTGCCAACAAATATATCTGTTATCCCATGTTTTTCTTGGTAATACTAGAAATCAAATTTTAACAATGTATTTTTTTCTCACATTTTAGGTATATGTGAAATGGTGGTTTGGACGTAATTTGGCAGCACATTACGCAGCTTTTCTATCAAGATATGGAAAATGGGTTAAAGCTATTGCCAAAGCTCACATATTATCATATCAAAATCTCTTCATACTCAGCCATGCGTGTTAGTTTTGCTGCACAAGTCCCCTCTACTATGGTTAACCGGCTAAAGGTTAGCTGTTTGATTAAAAATCAGATAATCTTTTAGTTATTAAAAATTCACAGAATCAATGGACTTGATTCTTAGTTATTTCAGTGGTAAAAGAGAGTCTGGGGTGCGAGCAAAATCATAAATCAACTGGGTTAGAATGTGACGGATTCATTCATTTCCGTGTTAAAACTTGGGACTCGAGTATTACGAGATGAATCGTTGGACAAAAAATGAGGCGGGAATCTCGAGTCTCGAAGCTAAGCAAACTGCCTGACACGCGAGAAAATGTGGCTGACAAGCGATTAGCATCTGGCAGATTGAAAAGTTGGCGCTAGTTCTCTGGACCAATTACAGACGATGACGATGTTGAACGGACTGAATTAACTTTCCGCACTCAAGTGAAATGCCTCCACGAACACAACAATTATCATCCCATTCAAAATTTATTAATACTTAGATTAGAGGTTTTTATTTTTGACACTTTGAAGCCACAGTTTAATTATTTCAAAGCCAGCATTCATACAAGAGTATTATAGAAAATATGATAAGAAGCTAATAACTAATTACAGGAGTTTATCAATAAAAACTTTTGGCTGTTTTTTTCTTTTTCATTCTTGAAGCCACTGCATAATGATCTCAATACCAACGTTCATATAAGAGTATTACAACATGGTGAATCGATTACGTCACAATTTCTGTCAGGTTAAGCTCTGAGAATATACTGACGTCACACTGATTGTGTCCCAGTCTCTATGGATATGTTCCTCCCCCATCAGCCCTGATTTTTATTCATCCATAAACCAAAACGATGCATGCACACATTCAACCACTTAGAATGACCGTTGACGTTTGCTTTTAGAATGCAAATTGTAAAAAAAAAAAAACAAACAAATAATGCCACACAATTGCAATATACCTAGAAATGCACCTAAAACAAACACTAATGCAAAAACAAAACAAGAAGCAAAACGCTGTAACCTAATAAAATAATTTTTTTTATAAATTTTTTTTTTCCTTTTTTGTTGATATTTTTTTCCTTATCCATTTTAATTTTCTTTAATTTTTTTGCCTTAAAACTGCAAACGCCCTAAATATGTAAAGCCTATCAGCAAAAAATAAAAAAGAGCACAAACAATCAATTTACATAATAAGAAAGCATACATCTCCAGTCATGCACAGTCATGACATGTAGACTTATTTCTCTTCCATTTGCAAATGATTCTATGTCAGCACACCTGAGTGACCTGGGTGGATCAAAACAGGGCTAGTAGACTGAAACATCTGCACTGTGACATCATTACACACCTCACTCTTACCTCCTAAGAATGAAAAGTTTTTTTTCCTTATTTTTTAAATATATACAGTGTTACAATATGAACAGTGGTGTATTATTAGGTCTACTACCTCCTAATTGTTATTTGAAGTAGATCATTTCAAAATAGGGAAAAGGATTTGAAATGAAGTATTTTCACAGTGGCTTCATGAAAACTGCGGGAAGAATTATTCTTGAAAATTGAAATCAATTCTATGACTATTAACAAAAGATTTGTTACAATTGAGAGAGATGTCCTATCAAATACAATATAAGTAGATCATTTCAAAATAAGGAAAGCATTGAGAGTTTTTTTTTTTACAGTTGCTTGGTATAAACTGCAGAAGGGAATACTCTTAAAACGTGATATCATATCAAAATATTGTATGCATTATAACTATTTACAAAATATACCCTTAACTATTTACAAGAGATTATTTACAACTGAGAGAGGAAAAGGTTTATCAAAAGTATTTTTCTCTCTAAATGAAGACACCCCAATATTGTATAATTGACATCTTTAGCAAAATCATACAAATAGTAGAATAGGGGCAGCAGGTTTCAAAGACATTCCTGCAAAAATTATTTACAAGAATCCAAACAAAGGTGTCACCAATTTACGAAAACAGTAGATGAATTTTCATTCAGTCTGAAATACAAAAAAGGAAAAAATAAACCAACATGGAAAAATAATTACCATAATTATGGCACAATTAGATATGGTATGTTTAATTGCCAAGTAGCAGCAAACATAAACACAGATATTAACTCTAAATTAGTTTAACAGCCTAAAATCTTTCACTGTTAAAGATAGAATATGGAGTGGTATCATAGAAAGTATTAGAGACAAAAATTAGCCTTTATTTCAACTGAGTTTAAGATTACTGTTCCTTACCATTATTTAGGCATGTAGGCTCTGCTGGCGAATTGCAGCAATCAGTGTAGCAACTCTTTTTTCTTGAGCTCTGTTCTTATCTGTCTTCTTCCACTCTAAAATTAAAATATAAAACCTCGTCCACTCCATGTACATACACTGTTATTGGCTTAGGAATCAAGGCATTATAAACCATTGCTGTGATGACACCAAATTAAGAAAAAAGAACAAGAACAACTGGCATGAATAGTTACCTTCTACCTCTGAAAGGCATCTCAAGTCTGAACGCAACAAGTTAAGGCAATTGTCAATGTTTTCTCCTTGGCCCCTAAATTGGTGGAAGGAAAATAAATAAGTGATGCAAATCTGCTCCAAGATTAATTAAGCCTGTAGTCTGGCTGATCCATAACAGGCCCTAAAAAAACTCAAGAAAATAATGATATAACACAAACAGTGAGCTGGTACATTCAGTAGATTAAACATTTTTTAATTCTAAGTTTGCAGTGCACATTTTTCATAACTAACAACGAAGAAACTGTATTCAGAGAAACTAGTTAAGCCATATATGATAGCAGTATCAGTCATATTCTATCAAGGACTGTGAAGTGATTAGTTAAATATATACACTCAGGCTATTGTACAGAGCTTTTGGATCTTGGATTACCATAAAAGACCACAATTGAGGTCATTATTGGCAAGTTTATTTTATTTCTGGAATAAGTCTACATAACTTACAAAGCAAGTAGGTCTTCTTTTCTTCTCATCACTTTGGAATGGAAGTCATCCAGTATGAGCCAACCTTGTTTCAAGCTTTCCATCTCTTCTCTACGTTCTACAGACAAAAAGAAAACAAATACAATTTGTAAGCTGTGTAAATAAAACATGACCTATAACACCTGCAATAAGTATAAATACTTGCAGTATCTGTAGTAAAGAGACTAACAAGAAGACAAGTGATAAAAATTAAACAAATATCAATTTAGAGATTTTTAGTTGATCCAATACCAAATTCTCTGATCTTACATTGTAAGAGTTGTATAAAAGACAGCAAGGAGAATTATCAATGAGATCTGGGGAATAAAGGGTTATTTAGTTCATTGTAGGGGAAAAGAACTGTTAAAGATCAAGGAATAACCATTCTGAACTTCAAATCGACATGAGGATGTAACATATTAATTGTATTATTTCAAGTGCCAAGGCACTTCACTTAATCACTCAAACAGTTCAAGTTCTTAATTAACCTGATAACACAGCTGCCTGCATTTCAAGTTCTACTTTGGAACGAACTTCTTCTGAAGACAATAATTCATCTTGAACAAGGTTCAGTTCCTCTTCAACATAACTGGCCAAATCTGTATGCACTTGGTATACACTTGAGGCTGGGAAAAAAATAGTATCAAAAATTAATAAATAGAGTTAGAAAGATGGTAAATAGTTGTACTATTGCATATAATTATAAATAACAAAGTGTAAAGTAATGATTCTGATTCAATTGTGCTTTAGTAAAACTCAGTTATGGTCCCATGGAGCCTTTCAAAATCAATCAGATGAAACAGAAGCTGGAAAGCTGGAAAACAAACCAAAACTTACATGAATTATCATCTCTCTTGGGAAAGTACTCCACTGTTGATCCCCCTTCATCTTCCTCAATGAAACCTGTTTCATTGTAAACTGTCTCTGGGAACAACACAGAGAAGGAGTCAGGTGCTTCTTCATCATCTTTAATAGGGTGCAATACCTTAGGCTGTCCATCAATTTGAAACCTGACAGTTTTATGAAGTTTCTTTTTACTCTGCCTTCCATTTTTCTCTTCACCGTCTGGTTGCAACCCCTGGCTAGTACGTGGGTGAGGTTGGGGTGGAACAGGGCTGGGAGGCACATGATCAAGTGAAGCCTCCTTCCTGACCTTTCCTGACCCAGCTTTGGTATCGCTGCTAGGGGAGGGATTGACCCAAGGTTTGTCACTTTGGAAGACTCCACCTTGTTGTTCATTAGTATTTTCATCCTCCTTGGCAGCAATGCCTGTACTACTTGAGCTAGAAGCATACTTTTTCTCAGTTTTCTTTCTGTCTTCCTCAGCAGCAATGCCTGTACTACTTGAGCAAGAAGCATCGCCTTTCTCAGTTTCCTTTTTGTCTTCATCAGCAGCAATGTCTGTACTACTTGAGCAGGAAGCATCATTTTTCTCAGTTTTCTTTCTATCTTCCTCAGCAGCAATGTCTGTGGCACTTGAGTGGCCATGTTTCCTGTTTCTTGCTTTCTTCAAAGATTGATACTTTTCTGTTTTTCCCTCTGCCTTTCTTCTCGCCTGTTCCTCTCGTGCCTCCTGCATTATCTCTTCCCATATCTCTTCATCTGTAGGACTGTAAAGACAACACAAATATCAAGCACACCCATCTGTAGGACTGTAAAGATAACACAAATATCAAGCACACCCAGCAATTGCCCATTTCCGCATTACCCTTGGCCTCATTTTCAAAACAAGTCCTGGTGCTCATCCTTTCATATGATTATAAGTTTTTAGTTCACATGCAAATTACCCTAAGAATGGTTGAGCACCAGGCCTTGTTTTGAAAAAGAGGCCAAAAGTAATTTGGAAAATGGCCTATTGCAACAAAGCAGTTACTGGAAATTACAAATGAAGGTAATTAAGTTAAGACAAAACAAATACTAATTGAATGTAAAAACCATTGAGAAAATGGATTTTTATATTTTAGTCAACCCTTTCATTCATCAAGCAAAAAATGATATCTCATTCTGAAACTTTATTCAAGTTCATTGATATTAAAATAAGTTCTCCCATAAAATTATCTAAAATAGGACATTATAATAGCAATTAACTTTTAAATGCCCTGCATAAACTAGATGATATTTAACTAGCAATGAAAATTACTGAAGAACACTCACTGAATGACTGGGTCCTCTTCCTGTATAACCCATGATAATTCAAATTCAATTTTACCAGAAACAACTTTCTTGATTGCTGGCCGAAGGGTGACAGTCACATCTACTTTTCCGGGCTTTTCTGTTATATAATTACTGATATCAATACAGCCTGTGGCCAGAAGCTGGTGACGACCATTGCGGGACACCTAATGATTTCAATGACGTAGAGGAAGATGAGCAGTTTTCAGTTTTACTCCAAACTTTGTGGGATGTATATCATATCAAAGTCAAAGAGGAATTATGAGCTCATGTACAAAATCTAAGGGAAAAGCTTACATTACATATAAAAATATTCCACTGCTTCTCTTGATATTCTGTCATCTCATCTTCTGGGTTCTACAAATACAAATGAATACTGTGTTGTAAAATTAAGGAAACTACTTGATAACAATAATAGTTATAACACAGTGTGCTTGCCCTATCTAAGTCCTATTGAGCCACTGTGAACAAAATCGTTATTTACGCACACCCTGGCTCCAGAGTTGCCATCCTGTTAAACTGCAGTGCAGTTTTCCCTCTTTAAAATAGGAAAGAAACCAATGAAGAGCTGCCCAATTTTTCTATCAGCATTGACCTTTCAGTTCCTAATCCAACAAGCAGAGAAAATGAAGCTGAAAAAACTCAGCAAGCAGCACTGTGAACATTATTTTAAACAA